TAGCAACATTTGGGTGAGAACATTGTTCGATGCATTGCCATGGACGGTACCGAGGGTCTTGTTCGAGGTGCCAAGGCCGTCGACACTGGTAACCCCATCATGGTACCGGTCGGAAATGGCACCTTGGGCCGTATCATGAATGTCACTGGTGACCCCATTGACGAGCGCGGTCCCATCAAGACCGATACCTACGCTTCCATCCACGCCGACCCCCCAGAGTTCACTGAGCAATCCACCTCCGCCGAGGTCCTCGTCACTGGTATCAAGGTTGTCGACCTTTTGGCTCCCTACGCTCGTGGTGGAAAGATTGGTCTTTTCGGAGGTGCTGGTGTCGGCAAGACTGTGTTCATTCAGGAGCTGATTGTAAGAACATGCAATGCTTACGGATTCGACATTTGCTAACGAGGAGACAGAACAACATCGCCAAGGCCCACGGTGGTTTCTCCGTCTTCACTGGTGTCGGTGAGCGTACCCGTGAGGGTAACGATCTTTACCACGAAATGCAGGAGACCTCGGTCATTCAACTCGACGGTGAATCCAAGGTCGCCCTGGTTTTCGGTCAGATGAACGAGCCCCCAGGTGCCCGTGCCCGTGTCGCTCTGACTGGTAAGTGGCCTTTTCTATCAACATATCAATACATCAGAAACCACCCTGGCGGACACGACGTCATGTACTTTCATGTTTCCATTATTCTCATATGTCGCACTGGCAGCTGCACCTACGTTTTCCCTTCCTCTCTCACTACTATGCACTACAATGATAACTCAAGAAACATCTTTACTAACACCTACAAGGTCTCGCCGTAGCAGAAAAGTTCCGAGAGGAGGGCCAGGACGTGCTCCTCTTCATTGATAACATCTTCCGGTAAAATTCAATTAAACTACCCTCTTTTCGCGGCATTTGGGCTTACAAATTATAGTTTCACTCAGGCCGGTTCCGAAGTGTCTGCTCTGCTTGGTCGTATTCCCTCTGCCGTCGGTTACCAGCCCACCCTCGCCATTGACATGGGTGTCATGCAGGAACGTATTACCACCACTTCCAAGGGATCCATTACCTCCGTCCAGGCCGTCTACGTCCCCGCTGACGATTTGACTGATCCTGCTCCCGCCACCACCTTTGCCCATTTGGACGCCACCACTGTCTTGTCCCGTGGTATTTCCGAGTTGGGTATCTACCCCGCTGTCGACCCTCTTGACTCCAAGTCCCGTATGTTGGACCCCCGTGTCATTGGTGACGAGCACTACCAGACCGCCACCCGCGTCCAGCAGATTCTCCAGGAGTACAAGTCGCTCCAGGATATCATTGCCATTCTCGGTATGGACGAGCTGTCGGAAGCTGACAAGCTTACCGTCGAGCGTGCCCGTAAGATCCAGCGTTTCCTGAGCCAGCCTTTCGCTGTCGCCCAGGTCTTCACTGGTATTGAGGGCAAGCTTGTCGACCTCAAGGAGACCATCAACTCATTCAAGGCTATCCTGTCTGGTGAGGGTGATGACCTTCCCGAGGGTACGTTATTCCACCATCTACAATCATGAATTCAAGCTGAGCTAACAATTACAGGTGCTTTCTACATGGTTGGTGACTTCGCTTCCGCTCGCGCCAAGGGAGAGAAGATTCTCGCTGATCTCGAGAAGTCATAGACGGACTTTTGTGGTGGGTGAAGAGTCGGCCATCGTGTCTAGGGCAGTTCGCTGGTAGTCTCACTTTGTACAAAAGATATACATCCGAAAATTCGGGATTATGAGCGAATGTTTTGACATGCGGCTTCCTGTAGTCTATCTTAGATGAAGAATCAGCATTTCTTGTTCAACCAATGACGTTTCCAGCCTACGCATTATCAACATTGCTTGTGACTTTCCCATTCTTCATTACCATCGACCTCGATAAAGAAGAGGGCTGTCGCCAGTGGCAAGAAGCATATTAGTCACATGTCCTCGTTTAACAAACATGACGTGTCGAGGAAGTCTTGCATAGCCTGCTTCAAGTGCATTGGTACACATATTGATGTATTATGATATGTATATCACAATCCACTCATGAAGTCCGGCAGAAGAGTGCGTGAGTTGACTACACCAAAGTTGTCTCACGAAACCCGGTAGCAAGGGCATCTAGCAGATCGTAACGACACCCGCATCACTGTTGATCTCGACGAAGAACAAGGCCGTCCCACCAAACTCAGCAGCAAAGGCAACAAGCGTGTCGTCCACATTCGGTCGACTCGCCACCATCAAACCCGCCGATATGACCCAAGGCCAATAGAGGCTTGACGGACGAAGATTCGTTATTCCCAACAAGGAGCGTCCGATCAAGGCTTAAGGCATCTATGTCATCCAAGGGCGTGTAGTCCACCACCCACAACCGACGGGGGCTTGGGGCATCTGTGTCATTGACGTGTACCGCCGCATCAATAAGTCTTATGATGTCCGTTTCGGCGTGGCTTCACAGGGGCTCCAGGCCAAGGATATCATGCCTGGACATGAAGATCAACGCCAATCAAGCTCGGTGGTGCTAAAGATTCTGACCAGTTGGGATGTGGCCTGCCATTCTTTTCTAAGAAAAATAATCTAATCAGCTTTATGCCAAACAGATAATCTGATTCGAGTCAAGTCATAGTAAATGCTTTAGCCCTAACAGCCTATTGTCTTCAACTCGTTCTATCTCAGCAGCTGTGAGTCGCGCTCTTTAATATTTTGAGCACGATGTGATGATCCTGCCATGCCATAAACAGCATGATAAATACCTACATGTTCCACCCCCACCTTACTCTATGTAGCAGTGATCATGGGAAGCCTTCATACATACACGCTGCATAGTGAATTCATTGCTTAACCAATGTGGCACAATACGTGATCAAGCTCAAGGGGTGACCCGCAACCGAGCTGGTGGAGCAAACCTGAAATCTAATCGTTGCCAAAGAATTGACTGAAGAAGGTATCTATATACTCCAAAAGGCAACATCAATACATATCCGCAGTCCGATCACATACTACACAACGGCCGCGACCTTAGATGCACTGCTCGTGCTGATGCTGAGCTCTACAGATACTCGGGTAGCAGCTGCCTCAGTTAGTGGCGCAGGTTGATCACTTGTAGAATCATTTGCTGTAGTTGTGTCCGCAGCAACCACAGAATGGAGGTGGTCCAAGAAGAGACTGGGACGATGTTGGCCAACTACCCAAATAGACCATAACAAGGGCGAACGTAGACTCACTGGATCATGAATGGCGTGATCAAGAAAGTTCAAGTTGTCAATGCAGTCGTTGGGCAGCGGGAGGACACCCCAAGGAGGGGTCTGTCAACTCCCAGCCCGTCTAAGACGGGCTACCCGAAGGGCGCTGCTCAACAGCTGTGGGTGGTGGACTACCACGTCCTTGAATGACGCAGATCCCTAATCCTTGATTGGGCGCTCCTTATTTAGCATGAAGAACTTTCTTCTCTTAAGCCTATATCAGTCTTTTATTATATTGGCAGATTAATAGTGGCTTCCTTTAAGGCTAGATTGAAACAAACAACTGGGGAAGACAAGATATGAGCCTGAACCATGATGGTGCACGGGATCATCGTAGTGGAGTCGATTTGATGAGCTACTTATAGCATGGTAGGACAAACCACATCTACGTCCTTGGATGATTGTAAATTGAAACCCTCCAAAATTCCTCCAAAATTCCACCATCTGAAGATGAGAGAGAGCGGGCGCGAGACCGGACGCGTGGCGCAGCAGCGGCAGCGGCAGTAGCGGCTGGAGTGGGTGTGGGGGCCGCGGGGGCCACGGGGGTGTTGGTGGTGGTGGTGGTGGTGGTGGTGGTGGTAGCAGCAACAGCAGCAGCAACCGCGGCATCGAAGAACAACTGGGCTTGACTATCGGATGCCCACGCACCCCGACGGGTGGCGGGGAGGTGGGCTTTCCCGAAAGTCACTGTTTTCACACAGGTACCGGTGATGACAGTGTGGGAACCCCCTTGGGAGGGGGCATCAACTTCTAGCTTGCCTTAGACGGGCTGCCCTGAGGGGCACTGTGACCGGACTTTAGACAGCTACTAACTGTTAGTATAACCACAACAACAACAATGAATACTTGACTTACAAACGGCATTCGCCTTTGGAAGGCCGCGTCCTCCACCGCGTCCTCCGCTTGCATTCTAGAACAACGTTAGCCAACTACCCAAATGCAGAATGATGAGTGAAAGATGATGGGAGAGAAAAGAAAGAAGATGAACATACGACACCGAAATTGAAGACGAGACCTATGACTATGTTAGCATAATATCCAAAGGGTAGTGTGGAGTAGCAAGGTGGGACGGGGAAGGAACTCACTTGGACTACCGTATTGTCCTGTTATTCGTTAGCAAGTGCTCAAAGGGGAAGTGACATGAGCGATGTGAGCAACAGCAAACAGAGCAAAGGGAGGGGAGGCGAGGGCATGGGGCAATTGTAGCTTAGTGCGTGTTGCGACTTACCGCTCATGATGGTGGGTCGTAAATTGTGACTTGGAACATGTAACCACTCATCGTGCCAGTTGGGCTTGAGGAAGAAAGGAGAAGAGAAGAGAAGAAAGACGCGGGCGGGGAAGGCCTTTTTATGCCTGGCAGTTGGCAGTCACCTTGGCGCGGTGACGTCGATATGCTGCCTGGCCTCCTGCCTCAAACACCACACCCCACCTTCTTAGTCGAGGCAGATCTGGAAATTCACTCCAGTTTTCATCCCTTTGTTCATGTTGTTGTTATGTCCTCAAAGCGTACGTCTTTGTACTACTTCTTCACTTACGTTGTGAAGAAATCTATAATGTATGACCGTGCATATACAGGAAGGATTTCAAAACCCGCATGATTCAGCGATACATGACATTGACTGTGCATCTCTTCACCTCAACAAGTAAAATATATGCCTATTTTTTCAAGAATAGTTCGGTGCCAGAACTAGTTTCTTTTCAACTTTCTAAGCTATTAGTTGTACGTGCACACTATGCAGTATATATACTATACCTTTTTAGGCCGCTTAGAGCAATGAAGATGGAGAAAGGGGTTCGCATCACGCAGCAAGGACATGCTGCCACGATCTGGGAAGACATCCACCAGTTGACCAAAGGTTTGAACATGGAATTTGCACCTGTAAAGTTTCCAGGAAGTCTTCAGATTAACGACAAGATCCATCCCCAATTGACAGAAATCACAAAACAGAAGGGGTTTTTAACGTGTATGGAAGATATGTACGATAAGTGTCACGATAAGGTGGAGGCGCGCGAGTGCTATGGATTGATCGGATTGTTATTATCTAAAACTATCGGGGAGTAACTCCCGTCCGGCTATATGCATAGTCATGTTATATAATCATTATGTGACAATAAGTGTATTACAAAAACTGGGACGGAACTCGACAACAAGCCCGCCAACCCAAAGCTGATTTCAGAACAGTCCAGCGCAACTAACACTCACTCTAGTACAGCGAAAGGCGATAGTACTTCAGCTAGCCTAGTACAGCCAGTAATGCCTCAGTCTAACGACCCGAAGAAAGTCAAAAAGTGGGAGAACTTCCTTGAGAAGGGTGACGTATGGTATATCTTAGACTATTCTGGCACGCCAGTCCAGGAAAACCAAAAGGCCTGGAAATGCAACACCAATCACCTAGTTGAAGGTGGTACCGGGTTCGATGCATATCTACATCATGCATTCAAGACATGTACATTGTGTGAGACTTCCCAGAACACGAAAGCAAAAGAATAAGCTACTACTATAGAATTTGCCTTCACGACAAAAATTGTTGTTCTTCAATTGAATGATGACGTCCGTCGAACTGGCAGATACCTCACCTGGGAGGGACCGACCAAACACACAAAGGTCAAAGATAATGCCGGGAACAAGATTACCGTTTATACAGGAGATGTTATCCGTGACGATCTGGCCGAAATCCCCAAGAGTATGGTCTTGGGAAAGTATCCTAAAGATCTTGAGGAGATCGCAGGTGCAGAGAAGACTAGTTTCCCAGTTCAACCCTATACGCAAAAGGACGGAGAACGAAAAAGCTCCACACCCAGTAAACGCCGCAACAAATCTGCTATTGAGGATGCTGGACAGACGAAGAAGTTCAAGGCAGAAAAAGAAGAAAGAGACTCTAATGCCCCGGTGAACATGGAGGAAGATCCAGGACAGCATGAGGAGAACGAGGAGGAGCCGGAATACTGCTGAGACAAACCGGGTGAAGTTGATTAGTTAGAAAGAAAGAACAAAGGATTATAGATTAGTAACTGTAAATATATGCGGAAATACTACGTAATATAAGTAGCAAGACATATTCGAATATTCTTTAAATATATATACGGTTAGCTTATGAGATTAGTTATCGTAGCGAATTATAAAGAAATAAAGAAATCATCTTCAGTACTAAAATTCTTCTATATCTAGATATCGAAAAGAAATTCAATAATACTACTAAAGAGTTTTCTTTTTTAGAAATTAGATATTTGTATAGTTGTAGAGAGGGAAAAGCAAACTCTCGATCGTACAAATCCCTAAGCTTTGTAGTAAAATAATATTTCTGAAGAAAGGTCACTACGCGACCCCACTATAGCACCATACACGCGCTAGTCTCACTCTTAGTAAACTAAAGACAACTTTCTAAGATGGCACCGTATAGCCTTGAATTCTACACTTGGTTTACAAAGACAACTTACTAACATAGCACTATATAACCTCCAATCCCACACTTAACAAACGAAGAGAACTTTCCCAGAATCGAAGAGGATTTTAAAAATTGTTTAAAATTTTGATTCTGTATCCATGACGCTTGCCCGTAACCATGATAATACTGAGTTGTAACAAGAGCTAAAATAGACCACTCCAACGCCACGCTATGCATTAAAGAATAATCACTGGTAACAGCCATCTTTGGAAAAAAAGAAAGCTACATCTAATAGGCTTTGACTTTCTTGCCCTCTCCATTCGTTCCAAGATCGGCCTTCCTTTTTCCAAGCACCGAGTCTGGCGTGCCAGGCATCTCAATACCAATTCCCTTGCTGTACTCTTCAAAACATGTAGCATGATACACTTTCCCGCCCACACTCAGGGCGTCCATCCATACGAAATCATTCGCTTCCACGTTCCATTGTGTCTCAAACTTTTCTTGACAGATCGGGCAAGGTGCTTGCTGAAGTGTCACATCCTGCGGAACGCTGACATACCGGTCCTTGGTCTGCTTCTTTGGCTTGGCCGCGTTGTTGCCAGAAGAGGGGTGGTTGGACTGGTTGGGGGCGGTTTCGTCAAGTTCGCGATATTCAATCCATTCCTTCTCAGGAATATACCAGCTGCGATGTACACCTCGTTTGGCCGCATCTGGGTCCTTGACCTTGAAGTGCCAGTCCATGTGACGAGCTTTCTTCTCTTTTCCCTCAGCGGTGTTTTCGAACCGACGACCACAAGTGGCGCAGATGTTGGGCTTGGCTTCGTACAGATGGGAGATAAGGTGAAGACGGGGTTTCTTCATCGATGCGGTAGTGAGCTCGATTTGGTCCAACAAACCAACCGGCGCTACTGATTGTTCAGTTCCTTGCTGAAGTGGATTAGGTACTCCATTCACAGGCGTGGGACCCGATACACTGCTCAGGGCTTTGAGAAGCCACTCAGCACTGCCAAGGGCTGGTGGGGGGGCCGCAGGTTGCAATGGAAGTTGAGGTACAGGAGTGCTTTGAACAGGCGTAGGCTGGACTGAGGGTGGCGCAGCAGCAGGTTTGCTGAATTGTGCAAGCAACGCAGCCAAGTTGGTGGTTGGTGTGGCAGACTGTGCTGGAGGGGCGGATTGGGGCGCGGGTACTGGGGTAGAGATAGGCGGTGGGAATGCTTGGAACGGTGGCTGGAATGGAGCTGGAGCTGGTACAGAACTCGATTGTGCAGGCGATGATACACGCTTCAACAATTCTGCTAGGTTCAGAACTGGTGGGGTCGGGGTCGGGGCAGGTTGTGGTGTCGACTGTGGTATAAAGCCCGCAAGAAGTTGTGCCACATTTGGTGGAACATTGACTGGCGAAGCAGTCACGGCGGGAAACTGAGCAGGGTAACCGGGTGCCGCTGTCTGCTGCGGAGGATATACTGGTGTAGACGGTGCAAACGAGGGCGTTGGAGCGGGCGGAGGTGCTAGGGCTCGAATCTGTTGACGTACAGCTTCCAGTTGTTGTGGCGGTAGAGTCTGTGTGTCCAAAATCTGCTTGAGAGATAAGAGTGCCGAAAGCTTCGTACGCAGGGCTGCATCAGCTGGGTTTTGAGCAAATGTGTTCTGTGTAGTGCTAATTAGCTGAGTGACTTCCGCCTTTAGTCCAGCCAAATCAATGGACGACATGGGCGAAGGAGGCTGCTGAGGCTGCGCGTAGGCCACCGGGGGTGTAGGGGCATGTGCTGTAGTTCCATATTGAGGGGTCGATGGGTATGACTGCATTTGCGCTATTAGCATTTGGTAGTATGATCCCAGGGACGAAGACTTACCGGTCGAGCACGCGGGTCATTGGGGGCAGCATAACGGGGACCATTCTGCGGCGGCGTTGATGTACCTCTCCAAGCCACGTTGAGCGATGGAGGACGAGGCGGAAGCGCATGTTGCGGTCGGACCTGCTGTTGAGCTGCATGAAACTTAGCCAGTGCGTTCTCGATATCTTGCGTCACGTCGGCTGAGAACACTGGGCGTGGATCCATAGACTCGGGCACAGGCATCTTCCACGTCTTGAGCAGGCCTTCCATATTCTTGCGGGTGGCCTGGTCCATGACCAGATAAGCATCCATGAATGTTCGGTACAGGTTGCGACCGATGTAAACAGTATATGGGGTTCCGACATTCTTGACAATGGAATCAAGCACGTAAAGAGCGGGAAGCTTCCATTCAGGACGAGTCTATTGCAATCAGTCACCAGTATCAAAAGCATGACGAAAACAAGAGGAGAATATGAAATCACTCCAGCAAGTAATGTATTCCAGACTCACCGATTGGATATGTTTCTGGAGCTCATTGGATATAGCTTCAGCGTACTCTGTATTCTCTTTGGCGATGAGGGTTAGATTGCTAATTTCGGGCCTGCTATTCATCCTCAAGTCTTGCAGTGCGTCCCGAAAATCGGCTGCTACTTCAGCTGCTGGGAGAGACATAATGGGCAAGGATGCTTTGGGTTAGAGCAAGAAGAATATGTGCTGTGTCAGGGTGTAATGTCGCGCGCAGAGGACAGGGTAAGCGGCTCGCGTTTCGATCAGAAAGTACCAACACTGCCAATGTCGATGCCAGATGAACAAGATAGACAATATGCTTCCTCGCTCTCGACGAACACACGTAATGACAGTGCTTGTTGATACTAGCTATGGCCGCGCCAAATGACGCAGTGTAGACTGCGCCGGTACAGCTAGGCAGTAACAAACTCGCTCTCCCCCAGCTACTGCAATCCTCCTTATGTCTGTATCCTCCCTCCTTCAATCCAAGTGTCTGGAAACAGTGCGCGACTGCTGTGCGGTCGTCAACAAGACCCTGGAGCGGTTCACCAGCGATGCTGCGATAACAACGCCAAGGTCTGTAAAAAGTGCTGCCGGTATCGTGAGCTGCTGCTTATTTATGAAGCAGCGGTGAAATTCAAGCGTATTTTGCGTGAATTACTCGTTGCGCTGAGAATGGCGGATGGCGTCGTGGGCCTGAGGGCGGTGGTCAGGCAAGAGAGAGTAGGACAAAGACGGAGGGCAACGGCTCAAGGCGTTGGCAGCAGCAAGCCGCGAACCAACCCGCGCACGGACGCCACCTGTCGGGTCCATGCCAAGACCGGCCTCGGCTAAAAGTATCGCCGCGCGTCATGGGCAGTCGCGCTCCCTCTCCAACTTTCCTTTGAAGGTGATTCTGACCACCATTCGCGCCCTCCACCACCTTTACCGCGATTAAACCTATCAAACGTCCACCAAGAACCAGCGCTATTGGACTGATACCAAACTTGGATAAAACCAGCTCCAATAGACACGATGGAGGACGTCGAGTTTACCAAGTCGCATTCGCGATCGCCGCTACCTGAAGCTGGCAACGACCCAGCCGACCCCTTGCGCCCTGAGATCGACGAGGAGAATTCCACCCCAAATCCTCCGATCGGAGACCCAGACCAAGATATGGAGGTGACGGAAGACCGACCGGGAGACATGCCTGACCAGGACGACGTCGAAGCTGGCTTGTCGGACAACGAGTCGGTTCTTTCAGAGGCGCTCAACGATGACCAGATGGACGAGCAATTTGGCGACTTTGACATCGACAATGTTGCCATCGACGAGCGCCCGGCCCAGATTATTGATGAGGACAATGTCAAGCAGATTGGTGTACACAAGCGCAAGCGCACTGCAGGTGAAGGCGAGGAGCCCAAGAAGAAGAAAAAAAGGGCAGACAAGCCGCGTAGGAAGAAGAACAAGGACGGCGAAGAAGATGGAGACATTGCAGAGGGTGAGAGGCGGAGCAAACGATCCAAGAAAGCAGGCAGAGTACGGGACGCAAGCCCAGAAGGCGACCCAGACGAGCATCTCACCCCAGAAGAACGTAAGTATTTAAGCACATGAATCGACTTCTCGCGTGTACTGACGGTTTCTGTAGGCAGGAAGAAAGCACTGAACGCTCAGATCGACAGCATCGTCAAGGGCAGCTCGAACCGCCGTCGCAAGAAGGATGGAATCGACCTTGAACAAATGGCCGACCAAGAAATCGAAGAGATGCGACGTCGCATGGCGCAAGCCGCCGAGGCCGACAACGAAGGCAGAAAGCGCAATGAGCCAGCGCGACACAAGCTCAAACTTTTGCCAGAGGTCACAGCTTTGTTGAACAAGAACAACCTGAGAGACACTATTGTGGACCCTGAAGTGAACTTGCTTGAGTCGGTGCGCTTTTTCCTGGAGCCCCTGAGCGATGGTAGTCTTCCCGCATACGATATCCAAAAAGAACTCTTCGCTTCATTGGCGAAACTACCCGTCAACAAGGACACACTTGTCGCATCGGGTATCGGCAAGGTTATTATGTTCTACATCAAAAGCAAGAGGCCCGAGTTGTCCATTAAGCGACAGGCTGAGCGGCTCTTCACCGACTGGACCCGCCCTATTCTTAGGCGAACGGACGACTACCGCAAGAAGGAATTTGCCCAGGCCGACTACGATCCAAGGTATGTCCCTGTCTTTGAAGTTGATCATATGTATGCTAATGTTTTTTGCAGCCAAATCAATACGGGCGACAGGACTGTCAACAGCCAACAAGCCGCCATTGCCGCCAGCCGGAAGAAGGCCCTCGAGGCTCCTCGTGCTTTCCAGCGTGCTCGCATGGAGTCTGGCCCAACCACCTACACCATTGCACCCAAGAGCAATGTTGTATTCAACGAGAATGCCCGAAGTCGTTCGACCAATGTGGACATCATGAAGCAGATCAAGGGAGGTCGCGGTGGTGGCAGGCGCTGAGCTGGTATCGTGCCAAGCAGACATTGTCTCTCGACACCTTTTACTTTTCTCTTCTTGCCTGCCTTGATTTTGTATTACAGCTATATCCTGGACGTGGAAGGGACATTTGCCAGTAGTTTCATATGCGCGACTTGGGGGTCACACGGGAGAATGCATAGCGGGCGTTACTCTGCGCATTTAGGATTGTTTATGAGATTGGGTCAGGTTTTCCTTGAAAAGCCTATACTGTACACTATATATCCAATGGATTCATGTTTTAATCGCTGATTGCTGAATTTGTAACGTATTTTCAATATCTCTGTTAACATTTAAATCCCTGAGGTTCTAGAAGTAAAAAGACGTGTATTAAATACACATGAACTCAATTCCCAATCAAAACCTATACACAAGAACCATATCAAACTCCCCCTTTCAGCCTTCCATCTCACGCCCCAAACCCATCAATCCTAAACACATTCACCGTATCAATAAACGTACTGTTATTCTCCGCCGCACCCGCAACCTGCACGCCATCCCGCGTAATCATCTGCGTACTCCCTACCGTATTCAAATTGTAAAAGCTAACATCATACGTCGACGTCGCGCCCTCAATACTCAGAATTCGCTGCTGACACGCCATCGGAGCATCGACGCGCGAGCAGTTTGTGCTGTAGTTGTTGAAGAAGGAGTAGAGACCGATACCGTAGCCGAGAATGTTGTTGCTGCGGATGATTCGGAGGCCCCAGCCGGAGACTGTGTTGGGGCTTGGGGCGGTGGAGTTGGATGAGGGGGATGTGGCGTTGGAGGGGGTTTCGAATAAGGGGATTAGAGTGGAAGGAGGGGCGGAGGGATCAGGGGAGGAGTTGAAGACGGGATCGGAGAGGGAAGGGTTTACGGGGAAGGGAATGGTGGCGTTGGGGTTTGGTTGGTAGTATGCTGTTTCTGTTTGGATTTGGCCCATGAAGATGTTGCGGGTGTCGACGAATTGGTATTGATACAGGGTGTGGTGTTCGACTGAGGTGCCGTAGCTATTTCCGATTAATATTAGTTTTCTCTTCTTGGTAATGGATGGGGGATGAGGAAGGGAACTTACAGCCATAGTCGTCCGTTGATGCTTTCAACAAGTAGACCTCGACCGGCATAGAGAGTGAGTTGGGCTTCACCGCGGGTATCGAGCTCGTGGTCGGCGGTCCAAAGCCAGTTGTTTTCCATGTACAATCCAGCACCGAATTTTGTTACGTGCATTGTCATGTATGAAGCAATGCAATCCTGGTCCAAATTGCCTTCAGTAATCGTCACATTACTAGGCGTCCTCTCGCACTGTGCAGTTTGGAGTTCTGATCCTGCAAAACCGCCGATACGGGCGTGCACATCCCAGAGACCGGCTGGCTCCTGATCGTATGTACCGAGATTGTACTCGTAAAGTATGGCCCCTGCTTGTTGGCCCTGGGTACTGACGATCAGATCTGAAATCTCGACTCGGCCCGTTTCGCCTGGAAGAGCAATTCTAAGAACAGGTTGGGGCTCTGCCATGTTGTTGAAAAAAGAACCGGAAGAAAGAATGACAGCCGTAATCGGTTCGCCTACAACGATAGAGCCAGGAGGAACGTAAACGGTCGATGTGACTTTGTAGTATCCCGCATCAAGAAACAGAATCTTGCCTTCTTCTTTGGCTCTCAGGATAGCAGCATTGAGAGCGGCGGTATCATCCGTACGACCGTTTCCAGTAGCACCGAGATCGCGAGCGCTGAGGAACTGAGACAAGGGCACCTCTCCATAAGAAGGTTTCGATCGCTCGTAAAACTTTCCTTGGGCATCCACCAAGTCAGCTGGTCGTTGCGTGGGCTCGATATGACCACGTTTGATATCAGGTCCACCATAAGAAGTGTAACGGTGCCCATCAGCCCAAGCATCAACAACCACGGAACCGGAAGATCCTGCGAGGTAGGTTCCATTAGGGCCAAGTACAGCAGCCTGTACATTGTCAAACTTGACGTTTTCCAGATACAGGGCTCCAGCAGCAGCAGGCTGAGAAGTATCCGTCCTGGCAGTAGCAATGCCAACCTCTGTGTTCTTGATTTCGCTGTCGAACAATGTAATGGATCCTATACTCTGTGATGAAGAACCTCCGGAAGAGACGTTCAATCCAACACGGCAGTTGTTAATAGACACAGACTTGTATGTCCAGCCCCAGTCCCAAAACATCTCAATAGCAGTGTCGATATTGTTGAATGTAAGGTTACGCGTAGTGAACTGCTGGTTTCCAACTAGGAAGCCCCGGCGTCCGCCATTGAATACCAAATCAGTCATGAAACCTCCGGAACCCGAGTCGATGAGCAGACCAATATGCGTAGTCCCATTGTTGGGGTTCATGTTAAATACGACATTTTGGATACTAGTTGCCTGTGCGGTTGGCCAGTAAATTGAGACAGCTGAGAAGTTGGTGGGTAGCCTTGTAGTGTCGATGATGATATTGCGGATTTGGCGGTAGAAAGAGACGGTAGATCCATAGCCAGAACCATCGAGGATTGTTGTTCCACCAGGAGAAGAAAAGTTGGCAGCAGCAAGGATGGTAGGTAGACAGTTGGGGTTTCCAACAATCTGGGGTTGTTAGTCAATATTAGTCTTGGTGAATGATCATGAGTACCATACTTGAGTGTTGTAATAGTCTTTAATGGCATCAGATACCAAGTATGTTCCACCTGGAAAATACAGGACAGCAGGTGTGTTGGTAGAACTCGAGCAATTGCCAGGTACACATCTGTTTCCGTCTGTGATGGCTCGGTTGATAGCCGCGGTATCGTCCGTGACGCCATCGCCAACTGCACCGTACGACTTGACATTCCTAAAGACTGTATAGTTGTTTGGGTTTGGATTGAAGCTAGCAATGCCTTGATGTTTGATATTTTCCATCCAATACGGAGCACAATTGGATTCAGAGACAAGATGCTGGCGAGGCTTCACATGTGGATGGGCGAGGGACTCCGCGCGAGCGGCGATGTCGGCAGGTTCGTGAGCATAGCGAGCATTGAGCGCGAGTGCGCATGTCGAGTACAAGCCGAGTACAACGGCCGTTGGATTGACCATTTCCAAACACTGAAACAACAAGTAAAGGAGTGACAAGAAGAAGAATTTGTATAGACTTGTACGATGACGAGGCTTACTCTATCTATATCAGCCGTGCATCTAGGTGCAAGGGGACTCCACGTTAAAGAGTACCCCAGGGCATACCGGTTAGCGTCATGGACCCGAGCACAATATAAGCCGGGGTGTGAAGATCATGCCTATCTATGCAATTAGCCAATAATCTAAGATAAATTTTGTGGGCGCAGCATGGTCCGTTCAGGCTTGGTGTTGTGCAGGATGGCCGCGGGTATGTCAACGACGACATGTCCTTGCGGCTTGCCACAGCTGATCCCTGTTAGGGGCGGGATGACAATCGAGGCCAATTAGGTTCAGACCTTAAATCGACCCTTCAGAATCATACCGAGATTTGTTTCAGAGTTCCTAAACATAGGAGAGTGGTTGTGTCTGTTAGTATGTAGTGTAATGATGATCGTCTCATGGGTTGCAGTTAACTTTAGTCCGTTGTCTAGCCTATAGCATAGTGCCCGTGACGCGACAATGCGCATACGAAAGATGCCTCCATTGGCATTGGGAAACCAACAGGACACAGACGGCTAGTACTGATTTCTTACTGTCCCGTTGATCACTCTTGTCACCCGGTTGAGATTCGATTGGGAAGCGTGCTAACAAAAATAGCGGACGCGAAACCATCAGCAGACAGGGGCAGTAGAGCGCCAGAGAGGCGGTCCGATCTGACAAGATTACATTTCTTTTCAAGGATTTTATGCCGCATCTGAGATGGTCGCTGACATTGATAACTCGCTTTGTAAACCTAGAGAGGAAAAGTGCATACCGTTCATGGAAGACAGACTTGCTTGGGCGTTTTCTGTTGCTGTTATACGATTGGGCTCCGCAACCATCTCTCCTTTCTGCAGGGCAGCGGCAGACAGCAATTCAACCTGCATATGGAAGATCAAAGGATTCAACTGTAGGTGAGTTCCTGCCGATCATGCAAGCCAGGGCGAGCAGATCCTCAAGAGAAGCAAACAAGTCGGTTAATGCAAAGTATCGTGAACGGATATATGTCTGCACGTGACCCCCTGACCGCGTCGGCAGCATCCGGCGCCCAAACGCCGACGACTCCAAACTTTTGCATATCAAAGTGCCCGTTGTGAACGTCATCTGTGAGCTCCGCCTTCTCAAGTCAAACTCTAAACACCCAACTCTCTCGGATCCAACCACATAGCAACCATGTTCGGAGGTTAGTCGAACCCTATCCGGGATGTAAGAGGGAGAGAGAAGGGCGAATTATCGGTGCAGATTTTGGCTGACAATGGACGCAGCACCACCACAGCCTTCTAAGCAGGAGCTTGCCGCCGCAGAGGCGCAGACCATGTCCGATATCAAGTGGACGGCAGCCAGCGCTGTTGTCTTGTACTTTTGTAAGCAAATTTATCCAGAGCTGGGCAGGTGTATTTTGGGCTGATCATCAGCAGCGCCGCATCTCGTCGAATACGTCTCCAAGTTCTTCTAAACGGAATGTCGCATACCGCACCCGCCTACACACCCATCCTTTATGGGTGAGAGGAGCGTGATGTCGAAACGAATGGCAACTGTATCATATATGCGCATGTAGTCAAGAATGCGCTTGTAACACTACCAAGGCAGGCACACGAGTTGCCTGACGGAAAACGCTGGTCACCGAATGTAATGATATCCCGAATGCAAGAGTTTCCATTGTTTCGTGGTCCTTTCCAAGATGAGCATTACAAGACAAAGTGTACAGAATGGTAGCAACGCTCCCGGGACGCTAAGACTATTATCGGTTTCTATGCATCCGCCGCTTGGTATCTCACAACGCCCAACTTTTGGCAATATAAACCCCCACATCTCTAGTGAATCATACATGCTCAAAGCGCCAAAGTACATTATGAAATTATCGCTTCGCTGGCCTTGCTTGCTTTGATGCTTCCCACTCGTCATACTCTTCCTTGGTATCATCAACCCATTTTTTAAGGTGCTCGAGTTGACGGTCGTAATCTTTCAGGAGCTGGAGGGTAACGTTAGCTTGTGGTTTAGTATTTGATAGTAGTTGGTATCTCACCTTCTCCAGTGCCTTCTGATCTTCTTCTGAAAGAAGCTCGCCGTTCTGTTGCTTGTCCATGGTCCTGCCCAGCTTCTCTGTTTCCTCTTGTAGTATCCGCGCACGCTCGCGCACGCTGGACATGCGCGCCCAAATCTCCTCTTGCCGACCTCCGAGTACGGGGTCAAAAGTCTGCTTCTCCAGCTCAATCAACTTCTTCTTCAAGTCCTCTTCCTGTGGGTCCATGACGTATCCTCGGTTTCGCAAGATTTGTACTTTGGTCGCGAGGGCAAGTGTTCGCTGGGTAAAAACAATGTGCTTCCGCTTGGCTTCGGTGATGCGCGACGCTACCGTCAGCTCATGTGCATCCTTGAGTAACGAGAGACTGTTGTTGATCTCGTGAAGACGTGTGCGCAGCGCGGTGACGGCCGCAGCTTGCTGCCGTATGCGCTCTCCGACTTGCTCGAAACCACGCGCCAGTACGGGGATGGCGCCTGGGCTCGGCTTCTTTGAGAGGGCTTCCTCCCATTTTCGCTCATCTTCGCCTTGCGAGGGCCCGTAGAAAGGCGCTTCTTCTGGCTTGACAGAGTTGTAGAAGTAAAACTGGAATACGCATTCCGGGTTCTCTGGATCCCACTTGTTGTTGAGGATTCGTATCTGCTCGACGACCGACTTTTCTCTGTGACCGCTCATGGTAGAGCCGGCGAAAGGCTGTGCTGAAGACTGGCGCAGCTGGGGAAGCCCTTCGCGCTGCTGCTGGATGCTTTGCGCCTGCACGCTGTTTAGGATAGGGGCAGGCTGGAGCGAGGCGCCAAATAGACTGTTGCTCATGTTGGGCTGCTGTTGTTGCGCCTGCTGCTGGGGCTGCTGGGGCTGACTGAACAAGCTCGCACCGGCATTTTGTTGTTGCTGTGGTTGGCCAAACAGACTAGAGCCCGTGGTCTGCTGTTGCTGTGGTTGTGTCGAGCCAAACAAGCTCGTGGTATTGTTCTGGGCCGGTGCCGCAGAACCAAAAAGACCACCGCCCGTGTTGCTCGACTGCTGAGGTTGCTGTTGCTGTTGCTGCGATTGGCCAAAGAGACCACCAGCTGGTGCTGTAGTGCTTCCAAACAACGTGCCCGTCTTCTTTTCTCCACCGCCAATATTTCCAAAGCTAAAAGACATGTTGAAGAGAATGCGCGCTATGCGGGTGTTTATTCAAGCTTGCTCGTGAATTAAGGAAACGAGTGACGGTGTCTTCAAGTCGCGGACTGTCGGGCGCCGGGTTGTTTGTTTTCGGTCGCGGTAGGAAACGCGAGCAGGGCCTCGTAGAGATGCTGGCGCTAAAAACAAGGACAGTGTAGCTCAATGGGCGTGCATTCCGGCCGATGAACTGTGTGCGAGGCGACGCAAAAGTGCAGTTGAGATGCAGGCGCGAGAGTGAAGAGAGATTGTTGTCTCTGCTTGACAAAGGTTCAGGCACAGGCGGCGGCCCCGTCACATCCCTGCCAGTTTTAGTGAAGTGCCAAGCCGACTTCCGCGACGACCTGGCTACCATCATCTTCAATTCCCAGGTCGATAGTCCGCCATTGGCACCCACTCGCCACCATGTCGTCGCGCCAGCCCAGGTAAATGCGCCCTCTGAACCCAGCTGTAAGCTCCATGGCCTAATTATCCAATCCAGGTTCAACCAGCAAGCCCTCATCGACACAACCCCTCTACCTGACGACATCCCCAAGGTCCAAGAGCTCGGAGCCAGTTCTGCGCCCCTCCTCAGTGCCTCGTACTTTATTGGCGCGCGCTGCAAGCCCTTCAACGATGACTACATGATGTGCAAGACCGAGGCCAACGGCCGGGGTGAATTCGAGTGCATGAAGGAAGGCCGTAAGGTCACCAGGTGTGCCGCGAGCGTGTGCGTACTCGAACTGTAATTGCAGGATGAGGCGGGTGCTGACATGTGCGCCAGTATCAAAGACATCAACGAGAACTGCCTGAGTCAGTTCCGCACCCATTGGCAGTGTCTCGAGAACCACAACCAGCAACTCTGGAACTGCCGGTCGGAAGAGCGCAAGCTGAACAAGTGTGTGTTTGACAAGCTGGTATGTCTGAAAAAGTTCCCCTGTCACTCTGTGTACTCATTCTCTACAGAAATTGGAGAAGACGATACCAGATACGCCCAAGGGAGAGACACCAGTCCACCTGCGTACACGCAACATCTTTGCATCCCACTAACCGCTGTATATGTACCGCTGGGAGCAAGTAAAAGGGAAAAATCAAGAATACCAATTCAAACGTATGGCTGTGACGATATACACCAAGATTCTTTTGCATTGTGAAGAAATGAACAGTTTATCATGATCAAACACGACGTCCCAAGTTCGATGATGTGATTACCCACGTACAGTCCTTTTACCATTACTACGATGTTTGACAAGCTGGATATTTTTCTCACTGTTGAACAATCTCATCGACTACCTTCTCGTCCTCTGCCATTTTTGATATCTACTTTCGTCACTACCTTATTTCTCATGCTCAAACCTACCACATATCTCTTCCACAAAAGCCTCCAACTCGTTACAGGCATTTGCCGCTGTAGACATTCCGAATGCGAGTCTTAGCAAATCTGCCAAAACCATAACCCATGTCTCACCTGGACGACACCAATGTACACATAGGTCCCAATCAAGCCAATGCGACCCTCATAGTCCCCAATTCTCATAGTCCATCAACTAGAATCAACCTCCAACTTCTAGCAGGCTGGAAAGCGAATTGAGTCACTCGGTTATTGAATTCTGCAACACCCATGACCCTACTTTTCAGTTTGCACACTACCAACACTAAGAGAGGTAGATACTACACTCTACATACACTGTACTCTAGTCCACTCTCTATTCAAGATTCCATGTGCTGCGACATGCGACATATCTAATATCTCATGCTGAGGGAGTAGTTGAGACAGGATGTCTAGTCACGGGGTATGTAGTTGAGGGGTTGAATTGGAACTTGAGAATTTTCCAAGACAAGGAGGTAAGAACGTACTGAACACAAAATAGCATATTATCATGCACGATGCAATAGAGGCTCTTGTTGACAGATTCTGTAAGCAGAATATACACTCCGATAGGATATTGTACGGCAGGTTGAGATATGTATAGTATGTCTCTTCATGAGTATGAATGTATTGGACAAGACATCTAAACTCATGCAGATAGCAATACTGTGTGTGATAGGTGCCACACATATCCTGACATTCTATATCTATGAGCCACTCATGCTATTTTACACATGCTTTCTACTCATTAGTACTGCGGTACAGTCTTGCACCGCCACTGGGTATCTATACAATACAAACTCATCACTCGTCAAACCATCACATCAAACCATCACATCAAGCCCTCCATCCAGCACCACCTCCACTACTCCCCCCACCCCTCGCAGCGCCCAAGAAGCGATCTCGCAACGACCCCCGATTAGCCGCCGCATTCCCCGCAGGTGAACTCCTCAAGAAAGAGCTTCCGTCAAGAAACGAGCTGCTTCCATCCATACCAAAGCTACTCCTCCCATTCCCCAAATCAACACCCAGACTAACTCGTCCAGCCGTTGGATGCGCACCCAACGTCATTCCCCCAGGGAGCCCCGAGCTACGACGCCCAGAACTGCGTCTTCCACTCGATCGGCGCCTCCTGGCCGAGCGTCTCGACCTTGCTGACGCAAGTCCTGTCGGCAGCGCCGAATTATCCAAGTCGCTTGAATCCTCGAGTTCCGAATCCGTATGCTCATAACTTCCAGCTTCGGGTACATCGTCGTCAAGATCGCGTTCGTCTTGGAGGACACCTGTCATTTCCGCCTCTTCCATCTCGAGCATGTGCGAGACTTCTGCTTCCATCATGCTGCCTTCGATGAAGCTGTCTTCGTTGAAGGGGACGGTGCTTTCTTCCTGTGCGTCGTCGCTGATTTCGCTACCTTGTTCTTCTTGCTCGTCTTCTGACCCGCTGCCGCTGCCACTGTTGCTGCTGCTAGCGGCGGTAGAGGAGGATTCGCTCATGCTTTCTTCGGCTTCGGGGACTTCGTCGTCTAGGTCTCGTTCTTCTTCGCCCATACCGGCTTCTTCTTCCATTTCGCCGCGTTCACGCTGCTCTTCGTTTGCGGCTTCTTGCTGCGCAGCAGCTAAGTCCATCATTACTTGTTCGCGGCGCTGCATCATTTCTTGTTCCTCTTTCTCGAGCTCCTCGTCTTTGATGGCTTGGAGGGTTTTGGATACGCCCGGGGGACGCAGCCATCCTGCGCCGAAACGACGGACATTGAGTTTTCGCTGGGAAATGGTATTTTCATCAGCTGTGAGGCTGGACAGTAGTAGGTTTTGGTTGTGGTGGGGTGTATGGTGCGTTGGGCGTCGTTGGTTGTGCGACGTATTGGGCGGGGACTGTGACTGTGTGTCTTCAAATGCTGCATGTGTATTGTGGAGAGAGGGCCACAGACTGGCGTCCTATTTATTGCGTCAGTCTTCTATTCTCTATATTCGACATGCTTCTTAAAGATGTTGCGGCTGGTTGCAGCGTCGAGCATCTGAACACAAAAAGTAGGAAGCACTTACTGGGCGCGGCGCAATCATAGGTAGGGAAAACATTTTGAGTGTTGTGTACACCTCAAGAACGCGCTCCAGGCGAAGCAGACGATCAAGTCAAGGAGCGTCAATTGTGGCGGTTGGTCGCGTTACAACGCGTTGTTTGGTGTTGATCGTACTCGAGGTGAGCGCATGGCCCCACCTCGGGTCGTCCTGAAGCAGGAAGGCACCCACTGACTACGTTCACCGTTCACGTTCACCCCACTACACTTCTCTACTTCTCAATGTGCCCGTCAGATAACTTGACTACGTGTATTTTATAGGATATATATGTATACGAGAAACTTAGACGCTAAGTTAATTGTCTGATGTTCCAATATTCTAATCCAACTTGATGTCTCACGTTCATCAACTTCATCCATAACATGTCTTAGATATCTGATAACATGCCATAAGTTTCCACATCGCAACTCTCTAAACTCCCTAAAAACACTAAACCCATCTCTCACAACTGCAGAAAGAGATCGAGATCCTTCCAACCCTACTGCACCCCGTCGTGTGAACAACATCAACTAGAGCACACTTGACGCCATCCCTCACCACCCACGTGCTCCCCCATCACAAGACCAACCGCATACGCCCCCAAAGAGAGACAGACAGAGAAAAAAAGCCCCCTCCCCCAAATTTCTCTCACCGCCGCAACATCCGCCTTCGGAATGGTCGCGACCCAATCTCCCACCAGCATAGCATACTAACCCGCCATCCCACTCTCTACCTCTCTCTCCGTCCGCCCCCCATCCTCACCGGAACAATTATCCCACTAAGAGAGAAAAAGAAAAAAGCAATGCAAAGGAAAAAATGCATACTTTCGCAGCCCTACCTTACTATCCCTCTCTCTGCATCTGATCTCCTCCCCTCCCCCCACGAAATAAGTAAAAAAAAAGTTAGAACTTGCATAACCCTATCCCTTTGGCGAGAAATCTGACATCTGCATCCATAGAGAGGAAGAAAGAAAAAAAAACAAGGCACACCGCATGATCTCCAAAAGCAAAGAACCCCTCAATGCCAACTCCCCCAAACCCGGAAGTTTCCCTGTTTAGGAGTGGGAAAGATATATTTGCTTTTTCCGAAAAAACGTATACCGGTGACTGGCTTGAACGTGTTGCTCTCTGCCTTGCCTCACTTTGCTCTACGCTGTCTACGATTTATTTTCGTCAGTGGCTTAATGAGGGATAGTTGGGTTTGTCGACTTGGATAGAAGGTGCGAAAAAAGCAAATGTTTTCCAGTAAACCCAGAAAAGGGAAAAAAGAAAAGAAAAAAGTCGGAGGTGTTATCACACCGCCACGTTTACGCGCCCTTGATTTGTTTCTGATGTTCTGGGTTCAAGTCTTTTTTGTTTTGTTAACATGTTGCTGAACGGATGGTGCTTCTAGAAGTCGGTCTGAGGGGGAGGGTGTATTCTTCGTTGTACCGGTTTTTTGTCTTTCTTTTCCACTTCTTTTTCTTTGTTTTAACGGAAGGGGGGGAAATGTAGGCTGGTAGTTACTTTTCTGGGTTTGGGTTAGGTTTGCGGTTTGTTTTACATCATATTTACCGTTCTTTGTTTTTTTATTTCTATCACGACATCCGGTGTCTCTGACTGCTTTCAGTGAATCACGGACCCGACTGCGGATGCATGGAAAAGGGCACGTTTGTGCGTGCCAGTGCTGACGCGGGTGTCAGATGCTGAGACGGGATTATGCGGATGAGCGGTATAGGGGGTTTGGGCAGAGAGAAATGGCAAAAAAGGAAGGGGGACCAGGTCAGCGAGTTGCAGAGGCAGATGCGAGATCTGTGCAGAATGTTTGGACATCGTAACTAGAGCATATGTCTGGTTGCGGGAATGCTTTCCGGAAATTGGGGTCTAAGAGAGCAGGAAGAGGGACGAAGCTATGGCGATATGCATTGGCGCGTGACGCGTATGTTGGTCCATACTGTATAAGCTTAAACAGCAAAGTGTCTATTGATCCTTTCTGGCAAAGTGAGAGATTCCAATATGTCGTGCGCCTGCCGTCTGTGTCCATGAGTGTTCTACATGCTTCTTCTGTTCTTTTCTGCGGTAATATCCCATCCCCATCATGGTGGCAGATCAGCTTATCGTCATGCTTCTTTTCTTGGCCAAGCATGTGAGCTCCGAGGACCATGGGTCGGGGAATTGGGAGGGGAGGATGGAACGTGACTATCCAAATAGATTAGCTTTTCTTCTTTTATCACAAGGCCTTTGAAATGCTACACTGTCACGTCTTCATGTGAAGGTTGTCGTAATGTAACCAAGTACGTAGGGTTCGGTAGTTACTAAGTGACGGGACCACCGGATGAGGCAAAGAATTACCACATTCATGTAACACTGTACTGATTGTATGTCTAGTCCAGGCCCTTGGTGCATTTAGTGAACGAATAGGTACACGTTTTTTCTGATAGCTGACTATACCTGTTCACAGATCTTAGTCTACTCCGACAATCGGCGGTGATACTGTCCATGTCACCCTGATCAAAGGTTGTATCCGTGATGACCAAGATTTTAGTCCAAACACTTAGTTCAGACATGGCATAGACTTCCTTGCAATAAAACAATGACAAGCGATCATGTGGTATCGGGCCACGGAACTATCCATGCGCCATTAATGGAGTTGAGAAACAGCCGTTTGTATACCAGGCTTCCCTGGAAATGCAAGTCCTACTGTCATCGCAACATCCAAGGAGACAAGACTTGCTCTGCCAGCAACACCTTGGTAGAACCACTTCATATCATGTACCAACCAACACCAAACAGTTGCGATGGCCATTTGCCGGTGACGTCGTGCTCCAACCTCCAAAACCTGTTACTGTGTATGTACTGAACGACGGTCGAAAACAGCCAGCATGAGGGCCTGCACGGGGCGCCATTGGGCATCAGCGGCCGCTAACTGTGCTATCTTCAACTACCCGTATGCACATATATACACATGTACATACATCCTCCCGTAGGATTACCGCTGCATCGCCAAGCGAGGCTCGATCCTGCTATTCCCGCAGCGCGGAAGCCCTTGAATCTAGATAGTGTACATCGGCTCAAGATAGTATCCCACTCGGCACGGTTTGGTTGCTAAACCACCCCACGCCGATCTCAGTTCCCGAAGCGTTCAAAAGCCGACTCCGGTTGGAAGCGAAGGGCGGGTGCAAATTTCTGCAAAAGCGGGCGTGGGGTCGATGCATGTTGAGCCACAGATAGACTACTATTGGGTTTTCAAGTCTGGGCAAAAGGTCAAGAAAATGTCGGATGCGGGCATAGTATGTCAAGCTGTGGCATCCGTTGTCGGTGACGCATAGTTTGCCATTCGCTGGTGCCGGAGTCGCGGCCGTGGCGGCTAACTTGGCGGAATCGGCTTAGCGCCACGCCCATGGCGCTGCTCTCGCATACGCGATGCTAGTGGCTTCGCTCATGCCTGCGTCGAGATTTCTGACGTGCACCTATTGCTTGAGAGCAAATGTGGCATGATGGAACGACAGTGATCGGGGCAAGATAGCTAGCAGGCTGACAACTGAGTCGGCGCGCCGGAACGAGGCATTGCGAGAAGCCGGATAGCATAGCGGATGGCCGGACTAAGCGTCATGGTTTCTCCTCCCACAACGGGTATGCCGCAATCACATAATGCATGCACTGGAAGATGGCTGCAACCAAACTTGGCAGGGCGCTCATGTCCGCGGCTCCATAGCGCCACAAAGCGAGAAGTGCGAGGCGAGAGACAGTCGGAAGTGGAGAAGTGGCTATTCATGTGCCGTCACTGCTGTGCAAGTGCTCGAGACATTGCCAGGCCAGCTCCACGCACAACCGTATGAGTACTGCAGAAATCTTTTCCGCAAAAGCACTAGATGGCTTTGTGCGTCCAAACTTTGCGGCGAAACGTAAGAGGTGCAGGCCTAGGGCCCAGATCACATGAGTGGCTTGCTGTTTACGAGCGGTAGCAAGTCCTCGAGAAAAAAATGCTGCAGACGGTCAGCAACAGGGAGGGTGCAGTTCGCGCGCGAGAGCGAGAGCGAGAGAGAGGGGTCGAATCCCATGTACCAAGTACATTCAGCGACCACTTTATACCAGAACCACTCATGTGTCCGTCTCTTAGGCCCGTTACACTGGTTCTCATGCCGTTGAGTCCACAATCACACCATCGGCGTGCTGGATTGAGTAAAAGTGCCCGTCTCAAAACAGACTGGTAGGCCACGACGGTCCCGCTTCGTGACGATGGCGTGCAGGGGGGCAAAGGGCCAGATCGGGTACGCCACTTGCTAGCGAGCCGTAGGCGCAGGCTGCGTGTTACAGCTGAGGGGGTTTGTACGGGTCGAAGAGTGGTGCCCCGGGACGCAAGCCTATTCGCGGGCCTGCAACAGCGAGCCACTGAGAGTACCGTGCACACAACGGTTTCTGTTGCGTCTGGGTGTTGTTTTTTTTGCTAGTACTCTTGCATTCATTGTCATGTATACGCAGAACAGTAGCAAAATCCAAAACATACTTGCCCATCCAGGGTTGTTTACTCTGTGCTGTCAGTATAGGGGGGCAGAGCACGCTGCCATGAAGCATGCACTCTTCTGCAGCAACACGTAAGCGGGCTGGTGCTTTGGCACTCCATTTGCCGAGTCTCTGATCTGACGTCTATCCACATGGTAGGGGTCAGAAGGGGGCGTTCTGCAATGGAGCGTGTCACGCATCTGAGGACATGTGCGGCACGTTGCAACGCCCTGTCAACGGTCTCGAGCATGGCCTGGATGGGGTTGCCCAATGGATATTTTGTCGACTACTGGCATGCTTCACAACATGTCACAGTCCATGGCACAGCATGTTTCTGCTCAGTTGGTACGCAGGCCACCAGCTTTGGTGAAACTGTTTTGGCCGTTTGTGCCAGTGTCTCCCCCATCACGTTGCCACCCCAAGGCTGATCGGTATACCCAAGCACGCTAGGCATGCAAAATCCTCGACGGCTCCGTATGTATGTATGTACGTACATATGTACGCACCATGGACATAGGTATATAAGTAGATAGGTGAGTTATAGCTTCGTATATGGTATACTGCTGCGTGCCTGTAGGAAATTCTCCGAGACAGCTGTCATTTGTCGGGTTGGCGCTGGTCTTGTGAATGACTTGCAGCAGCCGGTTGAAGGCTTCCGGAGTGGTAAGATGAGAAAGTCGTATCATGTCGAATCAAACAAAGACCGTGTGTGATGGAAAGCTACCAGGTCGGGGTACGAGACAATTGCTGCTGTACTGCGTGTCATCCTTCCACAGCCGCATAGACAGGTCAATTGTCGCGCGGCATCGTGTGTGGCTGACTGTGCATATATGCATATTTTGTATCCATGGACGGTTCATGCGACCATGGTCATTGTCGTCGTCGTCTTGGACATTGTGCGGTTTGCAGTTTCGTAGATTGCAGTTTTGCAATGAGCCATGGTTGACCGGTCAAGGCAAGAATACTCGAAGCGCCATGTTATCAATGAACTATCTACGCGACGGCAAAGCTTGGCAGCGATAGTAGGATACTAGCTACCGACGTTGACCCACTATCTAGAGGTCAACGAGGCCTCCAATCTTGGTCTGCACACGCACGGGATATCTCACCATGTGGAGGCAGGCGAATCAGACTTTGGGACATGTTCACGCAGGAGCGAGCATGGTGGTAGTCGTGTGGCCCGCTTTGCAAAAGACGTACGAGGGCGGTTGATTATGCCCATACGCGGCATAGTGCAATTGCTCGACGTATAATTGCCTGTTGCTATAGCTTGACTTTTTTTAATCGGGCCTCTACGCTGGCCAAAGTGCTGGAGCAAGTCATAGTTTGCGGCGCCTGAGCAGCATGCCGCAAAGGGAATCCATGTCTTGAAGTAGCAGTCGGTCGGTGGTAGACGCCGACAAGGGCCCAATGAGCATTTGGCCGCACAAGGCACGGTCGATCAAAAAAGCATGACCCAAGAGATGGAATCGAGTCGACAGCTAGGATTCCGAGAATCCCAGCGGTGAGCGTTGACAGGCGAGCGGAAGCGGGGACTAGATCTGAGGGATTGGGCATAGGCGCCGATGGACGGATAGAGAGTAAGTTCCTGTTACGAATGGGATTGAGGCCGCCAGACACATTGAAACCAGAGAGTCGCGATGCAAAGTTTATCAGGCCGACAAGCAGGCATAAGACGGGAAGCGTGCAGGAGGGACGCTGGCGGCACAGGACGGGACAGGCGAGGCTTATGCTGGGAAGGGGGTGGGAGGGAACGGACGGGACAGTGGGTGTGGGCGGATGTGTCCATGTCTGTTCTGCTGTCGCGTCGCATCGCATCGGCAGGCGTGGAAAGCGTCTGGTCCTGCCACGGCGACTGCCACCATGGCACACACTATGGGGACAATGGCACACAATACGAGGGCGACTGGAGCCGTGTGGACAGGCGGGCAGGTGGCAGAGAGGCCTTGGCTTGGCTCGGTTTGCCGGATGGGCCTCCGCGCTCAGCCAAGTCGTAGGCTGGCGTGGATCGGAGGCGTGCATGGCCGGCCGGCCTCGACGCAGTGGCATGCCATGATTCGCATGCCGGGGTGGGTGTGCAGGGCCTGCAGAGGCGACGCAGTGTCTTTGATTGTGGGCGCCGAGAGGCACAGTGACACGGGCAGCCGACAGCAGCCGCCCTAGGCTTGCCTTGCCTCTGCCTCGTTGTCGCACGCCCGTTCCCTAACCTGGAGGTGGGCGGGCAGGGCAGGGAACAAGGAAGAATCTGCAGCTAGCAGCCCATGGGCGGGGGTGGTCGGGGGGCCGTGGGCACAGAGGTTCAGGTACATCTCCCGCGGTGGAGCGCATGAGTTTCGCAATCAAACAAGTGCGAGTCGACGGAGGAGCATGGCGCTGGGCCCCTTTGGGGGAGGCTGCGGGCGCTGGTGTTGGTGATGGTGTGTGTGATGTGGACGTGGTAAGTGTTTAGGTCGTGGTGGTGGTGTGGTGGTGGTGGTGGGCGTTGGCGTTGCGGGTCGTCGAAGTGAGAGAATTAAGGAAAAAAAAACAATCAAAGGGAGACAATACCGTGTTTTGATTGTATGTATGTACTATGTACGGAAGCGTGGATGTACGTGTGTGTGTGTGGATGTACGTACGCCTGTATGTATGTCGTATGTATGTATTGTATGGATATGATGTGTGTGTGTGTGTGTATGTGTGTATGGTCAATGGACTGGACACGGCGCGGGGCCCAATCCTCTGGCGCGCCGGCGCGCGGTGGACCGGCACAGCCAAACCGGGCGGCCACGCTGTAGACGGTGATTCCATGTCGCTATACTACACACATACGGCCGTGGCCAGCTCTTGGTGGTGTCGTTCGCAGCGCAGGGATTGCTGACGTTGGCTCTACTGCGGCGAACATCAGTGGGGTGCTGCGCTGCTAAGAGAAATAATTAGTAGCCTTCACTCCATCATAATCCACTCTTTTCCCTCGCCCGTCGCTCTCGCCCTCGCCCTCCTCCACACCCCGCCAACACCTACCACCCCGACACTGCTCACCCTCTTCCCCCCTCCCACCTCCCCATCCACCACCCCCCCATCTCTCGTGCCGCCGTCTCGAACGTGCATCACCACCCTCTGTCCCTCGACGACGCTCAGTCCTGCCCCTGACGCATCCCCCGCCTGCCGACAACAGCGGTGCGCAGCTTGGCTCGCGCCTCCGCCTGATTGGACGATAGCCGGACGGGCCCCATCACCCTCCTACTCTCTGCCTGCTGGCCTGCTCTCCCTTGGTTCTGCTCCCAGACCCCTCACCAGCAGAGGCCACCGCCCATTGGCGACCAGGATTCGCCCGCCCGCACCTTATAGTCCCTCACTGTCGCTTCTCTTGACCCA